GGTGAGGAGTCACGCTCGGTGCCGGAGAAAACAACAAATTCTGCTGCCCAGGCACCATCACCTGAGGTTAGGAAAGCATCTCAAGACGAAGAGGAAGAAAAAACGCAGGAAGTTGAGGAGGCGCCATGGCCACAATCATCCGTGAAAGCTTCTGAAGGCAGTCATGCTGCCGCAGTGTCTTCTGGGGGCCGTGGCTCGCACGGAACAAGGGAGGAGGAGACGGAGAGGGATGGCAGCGGCGAATTGGCGCCTCCACCGGCCTTATCGAGTGTGAGCACTGCCTCTCATTTGGGCAGCGACGGGATGGGTGTCCGTGAAAGCACCTCTCTGCAGGAAGAAGTGCCACCACATCCCGGGACTGAAGTCATTCCGAAGGCCGACGTGGAGCGACCGATCCACGAAGAAGAAGCGACCTCTCCGGAAGGGGCCACTGAGCGGCAGACGCAAGAAACCACTGCGCCTTTGGTTGAAAATGAAGACAGTGAGGACGTTGGCACCGCATCGGGCAATACAAGCACCCTGCCTGGGGAAACCAAGATCCCATCGGGGTCCAACGCAACAGCACCCTCGGGTACCGGCATTTTGCTTGAGAACGGGCATTTCGAGGAGTTGGCGGGCATGGCTCTATTTGCTGAGAGCACCATGCATGGGTGTGTGTCTCGGGTGTTGTTGCTGATGCTTCTGGGGCTGTGGGGCGCTGCGGCTCTCTGTTGAATGAATTGGGAAAGAAAAATTGCAAAATTCTGTGGAGCAACAACTGAGCGGCATCCCAGCAATACTCAATGAGTTTTGTAAAGGATACTTTCTCTTTTTTTTCCTTTTTTCTTTTTCTTTTTCTTTTTTTCTTTTCTTTTTTTCTTTTCTTTTTTTCTTTTCTTTTTTTTTTCTGTTTTTTGTTTTTTCTGTTGATTTATTGCTTTCTGCATTTCTCCTGTTTTTTGTTTTTTGGTGTTTTTTCTTGCTGGTGCTCTGCTGAAATAATCAGCACCCCTGTTTGTGTGTTGTCCCCCAAAAAAACGGTCGCCTGCTGCAAACCGTCATGCGTGACGTGCTTCTCCCTCTTTTGTTTGCTTTTTTTGTCCACACGCGGTGCCGGCCTCATTGCTGTGCGTCCCACGGACTGCACGAAGGGAGGAGTGGAGGAGCAGGCCGGATGCCGCATGGAATGTGAGGGATGTTGTGTGGGCTGGTGGGAGAGTACAATTCCTTTTTATTTTTGTGTGTGCGGGCAGTATGTACAAACTCAAAAGCACGGTTGCATTGTGCTGCGTGGCACATGAAATGACATATCTGCCGAGTCAATTGTTTTTTCTTTTGCTTTTTTTTGGTTTTTTTCTTTTTTCATTTTTCATTTCTTTTTGTTTTGGTAAATCACTAAAGTCTCTTTTCCGTCTGTGCCGTGTCCCATGTCACTTTGTGTCGCCGTGTCCTGTTGACTGTCCCTCTGCCGGCTGTGCTGCTGGCATGCCTCCATTTCTTCTTCTTTCTTTCCTGCTAGCGACACCGATGGTCCGCGACGACGATTGTTTGTGTTCCCCCGTTGCGATGGCACGAGGGTGGCTGGGCGCCGGCCTGCTGACTGCACTCGGAGGGGAGCGGATGGCGTGCGCCGTGCCTCATTTGTGAGTGTGGGACGCCACCCGCCGTGAACTGCTGCGAGGCGCAGCGCTATTCCGTCGCGGCGGAGAGAAGCGAAGGACCGCGCCGTGAACTTGTATGCGCCCCGTCCCTCTTGTTGCGGCCGTGTGTGTGTGCTCTGGATGCCCAAGCCCATTGGCTCCGCAAATGCGGCAACAGAAGGATGTGGTTGCGTGGAGGCGACAATGTCACTGGAATCAAACCGTGCCTGTGGCACAGACGCAAACGGGAAGAGGAAGGGAAGGAATGTTTGCCTGGGCTGCTGGCCGGACAACAAACTTTTCCATACAAATAAAATACGACGGAAGAGAAAAATGAGTCAATGGAAAGGCAGTGGGTTCGCCAAATCCTCGTTGTTTGCTCCGCGTATGTATTTATTCGTACATTCTGGTGGCCCCACTCTCGCGACATGATGAACGCTCTATTCGGACTGGATGCATATATATTTATAGCTTGCGAAGTGGCGGACTTTGGGCTCTTCCAGCCACAAAAACCCCGCTGCAATGGTGGGAATCGAAGCGGGTGGGTGGGACAACAAAAGAACTAGAAAACCGTACAGACGTTATCGGTTCCTTGATTCCTTCCATCGCTGTCTAATAAAGGAACTCGAAGCGATAGGAGGGAATAGTACGGAAATATGTCTTTGTTTTATTAGAAGCTTGTGAAGAGAATGTTCGCGGGCAAGCTGGCGTCCCCAATGTATATGTGTCCTGATGAAACGGAGATGTATTTCTGTACGACTGTTCGTCTCTATTTTATGGACTTTTGACTGACCGCGACTAAAGGAATCAGGGAACGAATGACGCCTGGACGCTTTATAATTATTTTTCTTACAACCACACGGTATCCCTGCAAGCTGGTTGAAGGAAATGACAGTGGTTTCTTTTACACGGCGACGGAGTGGTGCCAAATCGACGCCCGCCTGTTGGACTTTGTACGTCAGTGAGGCGATATTCAGGTGCAGTTTATTTTTATTGGTGGGCATGGGCCGTCGCTGCAAAAATGACAGGCTTATGCTTGGTTTCAGGAACCATCGCCAAGCACTGGGAGGATGCGATGTATTGCGGGACGTATTGCGAGTCTCCGGACGCCTCAATTGTCAAATTTCGAGGCTCAGTTGCTCCTGCCCATCGTGTGCGGGCTGCCCGGGGGTTGTGGGTCCAGCAAGGGCTGACCATTGCTGGAAGAGCGGAGACTGAACACCGACCACGCCAGCGCCGTCGCCGACGCTCGGAATCGGCGTGCGCAGCTTTACTCTCAGGTGGAAGAGGCGCATAATTACTTGTCGGCGCGCGAATGTCACATTGCGGTGGCCGGCGGTCCTCTTGCGGGACGCGAAGACGCCGTGCCAACGAGAAGCGCCCACCTCTCGGAGAGGGCCGCCAGATGAGCCCCCACGCATGCATGCGCGACTATGGCGTCAGCACACGGCCACACCAACCGCATCGTTTGATGGCTGGGGGTGTGCCAGCATCCACGTTTCCCCAACGCACTCTCACGGGAGAGAGACGGCGGGTCAACACTCAAACGTCTCAGGGCAATGTGGGGAGGCCACACCTCCCTCACTCGATGCCTTTGCCCTCCCGCGCTTCCCCCTTGGAAGATGACTCCGG